CCTAGAGCTAAGCAGCCAACCGACATGGATGAAATTACATACTTGTTGTAAATTAGTGAGGAGACAACTGGAAATCCTGTTCTTCCTGTACTGACTACACTCTTCATACACTAAAAATATAAATACTATTAGGTCCGGGAACACACATGCTGTTATAGACTCAGATGGTGGCTTTCTAATTGGCATGCTATCACCAAATAACGTCCAGAAAACAAACTTCTTAAAGCTACTATAACAAACCCCTGTCCAAGGCATTTCTGAGAGCTTTCCCTTCCAACACAGTTAAACTTAACATGCAAACAGTCTCTGAGGACTCCTGGCACTTTGCTCTTGGAAACTGTGGGGGTGGGGAGGGCCAATTTAAATATGCAGAGCCTCCAGTTGGGTTCAAGTTTAGGCATTTCAAAGGGGTAGCAGCCTTGGTCTGCTTAGGCTCACAAGCAGGCGGAGTTACTTGAACATTAATTCTAGATTGCCCCCTTCCTGTTGTTTTTAGTCTTATTTTAGCTTTCTGGTTTTTACCTTTCCCAGCTTGAGTCAATAGAGGGGGTGTGGCCCTGAACTCCCAGGATCTTGGATTCTAAAGGTGGACCGGACTTCTGCCTCCCTCTCTCCACCCTCCCCGCTGGCCTGCCCTCCCTGTGGCCACATACAGACCAGTGATAGACAAGGCATTGCAGAGGAGGATTGTTGCCTTGGAGGAGTTTGTTTAGGCTTCTGAGGCCTGGGATGATTGGCTGCAAATCCAAATGTTAGGAAAATCCTGTTTTCTGCAATGAGCAATTAATGCCTAGCTGCTGACTGAAATTTTTTCCACTCTAAAGTAAGTGGGACCATGCTGGACTGAATGAATGAATGGTTTTTATTAGGAAATGGATTCTTCTAAATGAGTTAAATAAAAAAAGAAAAATCAGTAATTAACCCTAAAATTGCTATATATTTACTTAAATCCAATGAGGTGATAAGTTCATTTTTTATAACTGGATTGCCCCCGTGTGCTCCAATAATGCATTTAAATTGTTTTTTTTTTTTAAAGATTTTTATTTATTTATTTTTTAGAGAGGGAAGGGAGGAAGATGGACATAGAGAAAGAGAGAGAGAGAAACATCAATGTGCGGTTGCTGGGGGTTATGGCCTGCAACCCACGCATGTACCCTGGCTGGGAATCGAACCTGGGACACTTTGGTTCGCAGCCCGTGCTCAATCCACTGAGCTACACCAGCCAGGGCCCTCAATTGTTGTTTTCACCAATATTCTTAATATTATTTTCAGAAAAGAAGCTATTCGTAAAATTGACACATTTTCCTAAATGTGGAGATTCCTAAGCTAAATTATTTTCTTGGTTTTGTTGTTTGACACTGGTATATCAAGTCCCTATTATTTGTATGAAGTAGTTTGGAGAACTGTCAAGATAGTTAAGTTTGATATGAATAAATTCATCTTGATTAAACAAATTCAGAATGGCCAGACTCGATGGCAAAATAGTGGGAATTGCATATAACACCCCAGGCTCCGCCAATCATGCCGTCTACTGCTTGGATGGGAGTAGGAAAGTGGTTGCTTGCATCCCATGTCCCCTCGGTTCACTTGGTATCTGCTAGGACCTTGCATTCCCCAGAAAAGAATACTGTCTTCTTATTTTAAAGTATTTTTATTGATTATGGTATTACAGTTTTCCCAATTTTCCCTCTTTATCCCCTCTCCACCCTGCCCCCCCAACCCTCCAGCATTCCCCCGCTTTGTTCATGCCCATGGGTTGTAATATAAGTTCTTTGAGTCCTGTTTCCTATACTATTTTTTATCTTTCCCTATCTATTTTATGCCTACTAATTATGCTTCTTTTCTGTACCTTCCCCCCCATCCCCCCGTTCCCCTCCCCACTGAACTCTGTCCAGGTGATGTCCATTTCTCTGATTCTGTTCCTGTTCTGGCTGTTTGCTTAGTTTTTGCTTTCATTGTTTTTCTTTTCTTTTAGGATCATTTGTTGATAGTTATGAGTTTGTTGTCATTTTATTGTTCATATTTTTTATCTTCCTTTTTCTTAGATAAGTCTGTTTAACCTTTCATATAGTAAGGGCTTGGTGATGATGAACTCCTTTAACTTGACCTTATCTGGGAAGCACTTTATCTGCCCTTCCATTCTACATGAAAGCTTTGCAGGATAGAGTAATCTTGGATGTGGGTCCTTGCCTTTCATGACTTCAAATAGTTCTTTCCAGCCCCTTCTTGCCTGTAAGGTTTCTTTTGAGAAATCAGCTGATAGCCTTATGGGAACTCCTTTGTAGGCAACTGTCTCCTTTTCTCTTGCCGCTCTTAGGATTTTTTCTTTGTCTTTAATCTTAGGTAACTTAATGATGATGTGCCTTGGTGTGTTCCTCTTTGGGACCAACTTCTTTGGGACTCTGGGTTTTCTGGACTTCCTGGAAGTCTGTTTCCTTCACCAGATTGGGGAAGCTTTCCTTCATTATTTGTTCAAATAAGTTTTCAATTTCTTGCTGTTGTTCCTCTCCTTCTGGCACCCCTAAAATTCGGATATTGGATCGTTTCAGGTTATCCCAGAGAATCCTCAGCCTCTCTTCATTTTTTTGGATTCTTGTTTCTTCGTTCTGATCCAGTTGGGTGTTTATTTCTTCCTTTTGTTCCAAATTGTTGCTCTGAATCCTGGTTTCCTTCTTGTCACTGTTGGTTCCCTGAATATTTTGCTTTACTTAATTTTGGGTATCTTTCATTTGTTCTTTCATTTTTTGACCCAGCTCAATCAGTTCTGTGGGCATTTCGATTACCAGGGCTTTAAATTCTCCATCAGATAGGTTGGCAATGTCCTCATCACTTAAGTTCTGAGGTTTTGCTGTGTTCTTTCATTTGGGCCATATTTCTTTATTTTGGCGCACCTGATAAATTGTAAAGTGCGGGGGCCTTAGGTATTTACCTGGGCAGGGCAACCCTCTTTGCTGGCTGCCTGTTGGGGAGGGTCCAGAGAGGGAGCAATGCAGCTCGCCTGCTCGTCTCTAGCGCACTTTCCAACAGACTTGAGTCAGACTGGAAGTTATCTCCCACCGCTGCAACCCCAGCCTTAGCCCAACCGTCAGCTCTGAATCTGTTTTCCCCTTAAGTCAGTTCCTCCCATGCAGCTCTGCTGAGCTTGCAGTCAGCCCTGCCCCTCAGCCACCTGGCCGAGGTTTTTCTGAGTTGGCTGCCCTGTGGGGTCTGCCTTACCGGTCTGGTGGTTCTGGTTGATTTTTCCTTGGTTGTCGGTGTTCCATGCAGTTTGATTTTTTTGGTACTTCTGGTTGTTAATTGGTTTTAGATTGGTTGTTATCCTCCTTTTGGTTGTGCAAGGAAGCAAAGGGTTTCTAACTACGCCTCCATCTCGGCCAGAACTCTCCTAATTCCTGTGTCTTCTTAGTATCAGTCAGGAATGGAGAGGGGGCAGCACTTTGTCTCCTTAGGATTTTCTTTGCTCATGTATTAGAAGAAGCTCCATCCACAGGTACAACCCACCTGTGAGACAAGGGAGACTCACTTCCCCTCTTGAGACAGAAGTGAGTTAATCTGATTGAATATGGAAAGAATAAGAAGTAGCCCAACTCCTCCTTCCTCCTGGGAGTGAGTGGGCTATTGCCAAGGGTCATCTGTCACACCTTCACAAGGAGCATGCACTGTATTTGCAGAAGGAGGTTGGCCCCCCTTTCGTGCTGTTGACTATCGCAGATAGCTCTGTCTTACACTGGAGAACATCATTATGAAGCTTGCTATTGCACAGATAAAAGGCCTATTATACATCAACTTAATGGCTATACAGGTGATATTTTGGTTTCTTATTCCCTTATTCTTTATGTTCCAATTGGTTCAGAAATCAGGCTTATGTTCCAATTGGTTCAGAAATCAGGCTGCAAAAAATGTCCTGTTTATGACCCTGTCTACGTGGGCCTCCCATAGAAATGTCTGTCAGGGGTCCACAGGCCTATACTAATCTGAATAATCTTAAAGTCAAAGTCATGGTTGTTTCCTTTCAGAACTGCTTTTTTTTCCTGTTTTTTGATCCATATAAAGGTTTTTTGTAAGAACAATTAGCATTTCTAGAATGGCTTAAGATAATTTACATCTGCTTTTATATACAAAGGGCTAGGTGACTACTCAATACTCTAGAATATAAAGGTGGTCTGAACATCTTGCTAGTTCCCTTTTTTGGTGCAATGTCATCTGCTCAGCCAAGGTCGTGCATGTGTTGCTTCAGCATGCATCCCAGCTGCAGGAGGGTTTTCTGTCTTTCACATCCATCATATTAAAATGGGGGGGTAACTGTTAAGTGTGCCTCCCTTTTAATACTGTCATAGGGGTGTTCCTAGCATCATTCCCACCTGAGGGACAAGTTGCCTAAAAGCCTTATTTAAGGCAATTGGAAAAGGAAAACATCTAGAGGAACCAACCCAAGATATTTTGCAAGTCCTGGAAAACTGGGATGTTACTTGGGTTATGAGATTTTTATTACCAAAATTGGGACCATCCTTGGCAAATTGGGACAAGCTGGACACCCTCCCTGTAAGACACCTAGCACGTCACTTCCGCTGTTTTATCAGCAGTGTCATTAATTTAAGTATTGCACTTAGTGGAAAACAAGCTCTTTGTATTGGCCATGGTAAAACAAACTCTCACTCCTGTGGTGTTTAATCGCTTGTTGAGGCCTTGTGACAAGAAGGCTGAAGACATAATATACGGGGTCTGGCAGAAGTAATGCCTGCATGAGTGTGGTTGGTAGGGTAATAATATGGGTGTAATAATTTCTAGTTTTAATTTGGACATTTCACCTAAAATGCCATATGGTGTGCTTGAGTGTGATATTGTTATGCTATAAAATGACATGCTTATGATTTTGTAATAAACATTTTTGTGATAAATGAGGGGCGTTATTTGTGCCAAGCCCTGTGTATGTTTGGTTTTGGCTGTATGGATCACACCGCTTTTCCCTTTTCTTTAATAAGTCATTTTCTTCTTTGCAGGTGTGTGATTCAGACACCATGCTTGACCCAGCCTCTTCTGTGGAGATGGTCAAAGTTTTAGAAGAAGACCCCATGGTTGGGGGTGTCGGGGGAGATGTCCAGGTGCGTATGTCTTTACTTTTGCCTGAGTCACTTTAGTAGCGCCATTTACTACACACCGAACTCTGTGCCAGGTATTACACATTAGAATGTGCTTTGGAGCCAGCTTACCGCCTCTTTTTTTCTAATTGCAAAGAAATTAGAATTTCTTTGATCAATCCTAGGGTATAATCCTTGTCTGTAGTGGCTGATAAGTTAATGTTCTTGAGCCATAACTTAATGGTCTGGTGAAATCTGTGGTTGGAATTCACTTAGTTGTAAATAAACTAAAGTATAACAGAAGGTAGATTTTCCTCCACATACCTATTCTTTAAAAGCTGACCAATATGTGGTTGATCAAATCTGAACTGGAAAACAAAAAAAGAAAAGAAACAGCAACTCACATTTATATTTGTGAGAAAGGCAAAGGAGCAATTAATTAATAAATGGGTTTTCCAATTATTATTTTTTACTAATTGTTATTTAATTAGTAAAATTCATTTGCTATTAATGGAGAAACAATTTGTGAAGCAAGTATTGGAATGGGAAAATAATCATGCAAAAATTGTGAAAATTAAAACAAATTCTTTGCAAATATGAGATTAGATTTTAGCAAAATGTGAAAAGCACATGAAATTTTACTTTCAAGTTTAGGTATTGTGTTGCTGTGTGACTATTTTGTATTTTCATGGCGATAGTGAAGACAAAGTAAATGCACTACTGTGGCCAAAAAATAACCTGGGGGGTGAAAAGGAAGCATGCAAAATGCAGATGAACACAGAACAAAATTGAGGCAGAGGGGAGAATTTAGAAATAGTGCCAAGAAAAAGCTGATAATTTTGAATAGCCTTTACACAGAGCATTGTTTCAGGATTCAAGACTTGGAGGGAGGCCAAAGCAAACCCTTTTATCACTGGCATTGCGAAATAGTAGGAAAGAGAAGGGAAATTTATAGCCAAGAATTGGATGAGTTGGAAATTAACCAGGACAGGAGGCAATGGGACTTAAAAACCTTCAAATCCTAGATGGCAGGAATGAGTGTCTGGAAGAAGAATTTAGGGACTGAGAACTAAAGCCTAAAAAAAAGAATCTTAATATTATAACAAGAACAAAAAGCAGAGCATAAAGAGGACAGAGGGTGATGAAGTAGAAGAAAACTATCATCAAAAAGATCCGACATACACATGCACACAACTTCTCCAATTAATTAGTAGTACAGAATCAGAGTGAAAACATAGTCATGTCAAAAAAGGGAAGGAAGCCAAAATAGGGAAACGAAATAACAAACCTTGCTCTATCTACTTACCTCAAGATGGTAGGATTTTGTTGGTATTTTTAACCCAGGCTTACCTTATATTGTTTCCTTTTTGCAGATTTTAAACAAGTACGATTCCTGGATCTCCTTCCTCAGCAGTGTGAGATACTGGATGGCTTTTAACATAGAAAGGGCCTGCCAGTCTTATTTTGGGTGTGTCCAGTGCATTAGCGGACCTCTGGGAATGTACAGGAACTCCTTGCTGCACGAGTTTGTGGAAGACTGGTACAATCAGGAATTCATGGGCAGCCAGTGCAGTTTCGGCGATGACCGGCATCTTACGAACCGAGTGCTGAGTCTGGGCTATTTAACAAAATACACAGCTCGATCCAAGTGCCTTACGGAAACACCTGTAGAGTATCTCAGATGGTTAAACCAGCAGACACGCTGGAGCAAGTCGTACTTCCGAGAGTGGCTGTACAATGCCATGTGGTTTCATAAACATCACTTGTGGATGACCTACGAAGCGGTTATCACTGGATTCTTCCCTTTCTTTCTTATTGCCACAGTGATCCAGCTCTTCTACCGCGGCAAAATTTGGAACATCCTCCTCTTCTTGTTAACTGTCCAGTTAGTGGGTCTCATCAAATCATCCTTTGCCAGCTGCCTTAGAGGAAATATCGTCATGGTGTTCATGTCCCTCTACTCAGTGTTGTACATGTCAAGTTTACTTCCCGCCAAGATGTTTGCAATTGCTACGATAAACAAGGCTGGGTGGGGCACATCTGGAAGGAAAACGATTGTCGTTAATTTCATAGGACTCATTCCAGTCTCGGTTTGGTTTACAATCCTCCTGGGTGGTGTGATTTTCACCATTTATAAGGAATCTAAAAAGCCATTCTCAGAATCCAAACAGACAGTCCTAATTGTTGGAACGTTGCTCTATGTGTGCTATTGGGTTATGCTTTTGACTCTGTACGTGGTTCTCATCAGTAAGTGTGGCAGGCGGAAGAAGGGACAACAGTACGACATGGTGCTTGATGTATAATCTCACGTTGGTGGACGTTTGCAACCACACATGCAGACACAAAACCTTAGTTCCTCTAGTGACTCGAGTATTGTGGCACGAGATAATGAATGCCACCACAGGAGACATATCACTGCTGCTGGGACTTGAACAAAGACATTTCTATGGGTTTGTTTGTTTTTTTTTTTTTATTCTGCCAAAGTAAAATGATACATCAACAAGAAACTCAGATTTAACCTGTTATTTCTATGAAAATGGGAAGACTTCTTTGTTTATGCACTTTTTCCTTTACTGTACATCCACCTAACAGTGTTTGCCCTATATACCTCACTAGCCATGCTTTATGTGGGTTATTGTGGAAGAAAAGGATTTTGGAAACTCAAGGAAAAGTTCTTACAACGTATACAACCTAACTTATGGACTGTGTTGATAGCGATTTTTTTTTCTTTTTTAGAAAGACTACCCATTTTCTGTTTCAGACTACCAAATGAAATGCCAAAGGAAAATTTAAAGGCCGTTGGCTGTGCTGTAATTTTATATAATTGTACTGTGTTTTAAAATTTTGTATGCCAATTTTTTAAAACAAATTTTGCATATTCTATATTTTCCTTCTCTGCCAAAATATACCTGTTCTTCCTTTAAAAAAATTTTAAATAAAATAGGTTCTGAAAAAAATTCAAACTTATAAAAACCTACCCAAAATGTGAAGCTTGGTTGACTGATGTTGTTCATGATAGATAGAATAAATGTTTCTCTCTCTTCTCCACCTTATCAGATTGAACAGTTTATTTCTGTGAAAAGTATTTAAGCATCCAATATATTAACTTTCCTTTGTTTCTTTTTGAAAGGCCAATATACCTGTCACACTTTGGGAGTAAAAATACATAATTATGTGTACAAAAAAAAAGTAAATCATTGAAAGTCAAGGCCAAAGGGGTAGAAAAGTGCAATTTTTTCATAAGATTAAGAAAAGGGAATGCTAGTCCTCCAGAAGACACTGGGCACCCAGCACTGGACGTAACATGTGGTCAAAGATGAATAACCGTTGGAGATTCTGGCAGTGTTTTCTCAGGCTGAGGAAAGTGGGAAGTGGAAAAAATTATCTGTATAATTTGGGTAAATGCAGCACAGTTCCTCACATTCTGTTCTGTGGCCTGAATTCACCTGATCCTATCGATACATTGATCATATTTAAACTGCCTTCCCAGCTTGCTTGCCAGTCCCCTTTCCGTGTTAGTATGGAGTTCCTATGATCAAGTTGGACCGATTACAATAAAGAGAAAGCACACAGATTCAAACCATGTGCTCTTTTACTTTCTAGTGAGGCTTTTTTCCTGAATTCTACAGATAATTTCTTCATCTTTTCTGTCGGCCAACATAAATATGTTTACATAGGAGAAATACTATCAAGGTTTCATAAGTGTTATCAAGAATTGGCGCATAAGAAAAATGAATGAATCAGGTACCCGTAGTCGAGCTAGTTTTGCTTCTCCAGATCCTCGGTTACCCAGTCTGACTTGACACGACCCATCTTGCCTTGTAGCTGGTGCTGTGTAGACAGACGTGTTCAAAACAATTGAACACATGAGTAGTTGCATAGAAGATACTGTGAGGAAGCAAAGTCATGTGGAAAAGTCTTCCTTCATGTGCTTCCTGCCTTTCTGCTGCTTCATGCAGACATCTCTGGTCCATCCTAAGAAAAAGCACATTCTACCTTCAGAACACAAGGTACATAACATTCTGCCACTCCGACTCGCACCGATTTGGACAGCTTGTGGGAAAGCCAACACCATGCCAATAAATGAGACTAAAACTTGAGTTTGCCTTTTTAACTATTTATGTTCTAAGTTAAACTTTGATAACATTCAAATGTCAAATTCTCTCACTCTTATAAAAGATTGAATTAATTGCCTGTATTTATTTTAGCAATTATTCAATGTATTTCCAGTATAGGATGTATAGTATAATTAATTTTTTGTAAATAAAATATTTTTGATAAGATTATTGCGTGGTTTTCTAAGGGAGGGGGGCATTTCAAACAAAATGTCACCTGATTGTAATGATACGGATTTGAGAATGGGTTTTAGAATAAACAAATGTGGTCAAAGATAACAGAAGTCATTTCATTTTACTATTCGTAAAGTGGAAGTCCCCCCAAATTGGTATAGTTTGGAGATCTAGGAAATCGAGAAAGACTAGCATACCCCTTGTCTCAACTCTTTTTCCCCTCTAAAGCAGCTCAAATTTAGACAAATATGTTTCATTACAGTAATTTATCACAGTGGGAAAGGAGATTTTCAGGAAATTTTTTTTTTATTTTTTTTTAAATATTTTATTTATTTATTTTTTAGAGAGGGAAGGGAGAGAGATAGAGAGAGAGAGAAACATCAATGTGCGGTTGCTGGGGGTTATGGCCTGCAATCCAGGAATGTACCCTGGCTGGGAATCGAACCTGGGACACTTTGGTTCCCAGCCCGCGCTCCATCCACTGAGCTACGCCAGCCAGGATGATTTTCAGGAAATTTTTATAGCATTGTAACCAATACAATCTTATGAGAGCAATAATGGAATGGCATTTATAAACTGGAGTATTCCCCATCAAACAATGTTCAGAATGTGGTATGAGGGTATTAGAGAAATGACACAATAAATTATATAACCAATTTGTGCAATAAAATTTCAATTTTGTGAAGACAAATATTAAAACATGGTTATTTATTGGGAATATGGCCACTGATATTTTGTATACATTATAGTATTTTCCAACTTCCCTGATCATGTATTGCCTTTATAATCAGTGAAAAGACAATAAATACTGCTTTTTTAACAACAACAAAAAGTGGGTTGGGGCATTTTACCACTTATGCCTCAAATTTATCTTACTTTCCCAGTTTTTATTCCTAAGACTTCTTCATTATCTTGGTACAGTGACATTATTAAAACCATAGGCACTGAGTAGCCTTGCCATCAGCAATAGTGATGGGTCTAGTCCCATCAGTTCACTGATGAAGTCAGTGCTGTCTGAGAGACTGGCAAACTTGAGGAGCCACACAGTGTCCATTGCAGGCTCTCCCGGCCGGCCGTGCTGTCGCAGGACTAGTCAACTGGCCTGTGGTAGCACAAGAGCATCCACAGGCAATTTGTAAAGGAGCCTGTGGCTGTGTCCCATACAGTTTATGAACACTGACATTTGAGTTTCCTACAATTTTCACGTGTTATACAATATTCTTTTGATATTTCTCAATCATTTGATTTAAAACTATTCCTAGTTCAGCATCACCAAAACAGGCAAAGGGTCCGATCTGGCCATGTGCAGGCCATTGTTCAATGATGCCTGCTCTTTAGGCATCTGTTGACTTATATAGGCTGCTGTGCACTGACACCTGATATTTGGGCACACACCCCGCCTCAAGTGCTGCCAGAAGCAAACTTTATAGACCATTTATTATATCAGTCTCGAGGGGTTACATGATTATCACCATTCTATAGGTAAGGAATCTGAGGCTTAGAGATTTGGTACCTTCAGGCCATAAAACTGGTGAATTCTGGTGGTAGAATTCTTAAGTCTAGGCATTGCAACGTCCAGCTTCCCCTTTGGTGCTACTCAGGAAGCTGTCCACTGTCCAGCAGCACCAGTGTCACCTGGGAACTCATTAGAGACACACATTCATGACCCCAGACCCACTGAATTAAAATCTCAGGCTGGGACCAGAAATTAGTGTTTCATAAGATCTCCAGGTGACTTTCACTCACTTAAAGTTTGAGAAACAACCCTCTAGTCTAGCATCTTACATTGTCCCCCTCAGACCAAGTGTAATTTTTAGGGTAGATTTAGAACATTTCAAATATTTGTGTTTTCCTATTGAACTTCTCTACTTCTAGCATCATATATGAATATGGGTAGATATTTGGGTTTAATTAAGTTTACTGAATATGAACAAGAAATCAAAAGAGATTTGTGTTTTCTCTCTACTCCAAGAGCTTATAACTAAGTAAGAGGGATAAGACAATTACACAAACATTTGATGCAAAATGCAATAACGGAGTATATAAAGCGGCATGAGGATATAAAAAGAAGGAATGAAATGCACAATTAGCTCTGTGAAGGTAGGCTTCAAGATAGTGTGGGGTTTGGGGTGAGTCTTCAAGGATGTGCAAGTTTGGATGGGAACTTAGCAAAGAGGTGTGATTTTGATACGTAATCCTTTAAGCAGAGCTAAGAAATTTAATTAAGGTGTGGGCTGTATTTTACCAACAGTTCGGACTTAGCTATAGAATGTACACTTGAAGGTGGATCGTAGACCATAATCCAGCTGGGATAAATGCTAGAATGAAGTGTTTAAATTTGACAGGTCCTAGTGCATGCAGATATTTTTTGAATATGGTACTACCATGATTGTAAAGCCAACTCTACGGAGGTCTGGATTTGAACATCTCACATAAACAGTGATATTTAGAAATATGATTTGGTTAGAATGTTACAATAAACTGGTGTTGCGTTCTCCTGACACTGACCACTTTCATCCCAGTCCCTCCCAGTCTGCCTCCTGTTCCACGTCCGCAGCTACTGAAGGGCATCAGACGTGCCCTTCGGCTTCTTTTACTTGCCCCCTAACCACTAGTCACTACAACCATCCGGTTCTTCCTTGGCAATGTCATTCAAATTCATCTCTCACCCCCATTAAGATGTTCTGTATCTCTTACCTGAATTATGAAATTGTGCTTGGAAGAAAGAACTGTGAATACAATAAGTGTTTGTGCTATGTCATTGCTTCAGGATGTTGGAAGATTGGCCATGATATAAAAGACTTCTATTCTTAGGCATGTTTAAGAAGCATTGAGTAAATCAGGTTCGTACCTGCAGAAATTCTCAGCAACATTCTGATGGGCTTTCTGAATCTGCAAGAGGCACATCACGTTCAGAAATCCATACATTTAGATGATTGTGGTACCTTATCCACAGAGATGTGGGTTAACAGATGGATTAACATTTTTATCCTGCAGTACATAGTTTAGGTAACGCTGGTATATAATTCCTGACACCACAAATTCAATTTGTTTTCACTCAAGGTCTAAAAACAACACTCACAGTTTAGCCTCCTTATTACTTGAGTAACCAGCTCCAGGTGCTGAGACCACAGGGCTAGAGGGAGGAGCCTTCATTTGGCTCAGCCTCTGAGCTACAGGGAAACAGGTTCTCCTCAAAAGAGTTCAGTTCCCCCATGCGCTGTCAGAAAAGCACGCTGGAGCTTAAGAGAACCCAAATGACTTGTTTTATCTCTGCTCTACAGGGCCACAAGGAGTTTAGTCCTGATAGGTTGAGGAAATGGACAATGTGTGCATTGAAACAACTTTGAAACAACTTTGGCAATGTTACAGAGTGCACTCACTGAAGGGAAGCTCCATTGCTTTATAAACCAAGAAGAGGGTTGCATTTTGTTGTCTATCTTTGGACGAGTGCACTGTGGAGTCACACAAATGCAATCAGTTTTTAATTGGGTCAGGATTGAATCACAGTATATATGTTCACTCTCAGGAAGAACAGAGGCCTGACAACATCATCCCACCTTTCCAGATAACACATGATGTGTTTCTTCAATTAAAAGAAAATAGATGGAAGTTTTAAGGGAATAAAATGAAGGTTTTAAGAAGAAGGATCTTCTGGAAGAAGGATCTTGAGAATCAAAGTTGAATGACCGTTGTTCATGAAGCTATTAGTAGAGTCATGGCAAAAGGGAAACAGACTTCCTTTGCTCCAA